TTTTTAAATCATTATATTTCTTTTATTCTCTTTGTTTATTTTTTCTGAATCAATTAATACACTAAACATATAATAAATTTATATCTTATGCATATGCGATAATATGAATTTTGACAAACAAAACAAAATGTTCACTAAATTTTTTATTTAATAAAAATATATCATTTTCTGTTAAAATATTAACTATACAATTACATTCATATTAAAAAAAAAGATGAAAATTAATAAGAAAATCTTCTACATCATATTATATATTTGTAATTACAATACTAATACAAAATCATATTAGTACTAATCATAATACTATTAGCATACATATAAAATCAATTAAACTATTTATTTTTAAATAAAATAAATCATGTTAAATAAAATATTTTATAGATACTTCACGCGGCGCATGACACAAGAGCTATTTGTTTATGATTGAAAAATATTTAACTAAAACTATGCATTCAATATTTCTATAGATTATTTTATGATTTTTATACTTTTAAAAAAATCATTGTAGTATAACAATTTTAAAAAATATTCAAGACAAAAACAAAAATTTTATTTTTTGCAAAAATATCAGTTACAATTTTTTTTCAAATATAATACAGATAGAATTTGGTTGTTACCTAATATAGTTATCAGATTATTATTTTCTGATTTTTATACTTTTAGAAAAATCATTGTAGTATAACCATTTTAAAAAATATTCAAGACAAAAACAAAAATTTATTTTTTGCAAAAATATCAGTTACAAATTTTTCAAAAAGTCAATTTGCTAGAAAAACCAAAACGTGGTCAAAATTAGCTAAATATGAAAGAGAAAATGTAAAACTCCATCTACAGTGTTTGGTCGGTATGTTAATTACATTCTAACCCTTCTTTGTTTTTTTATTATTTATTAACTTAATTTTCGTCACGAGATGTTTTTCTCTCTCATCTAGTTAATATATAAGTTATACAATTACATAACTTGTTAACAAACTACATATGTATATATATAGCCAATACAGTTACATAACTTGTTAACAAAGTACATATTTTATTAGCATGGTAAGTTTATACATTTTTAACATACTCCAACGTGATCGGACACTAGAAATCCGCCAAGATATTTGCGTCTGACAACGACTTATAGTGGTCGAAATCAAGATTCAGTGACAGCGTTGAAGGATCGTGTTGAAGGCATCACGCAGATTGAATAACAAACGAATTTGATGAGAGATGCGGCGGAGAATTTGGATCTCTCGTCGATCTGATCACGTGTTTGATCCTCCAACCTCTGTATTTCTTCCGTCAAACTAGTGGAATCTATAAAACCTAAATCGCTGAAAATCTCAGTTAGCTTCGATTGATCTGGTAATTAAGATCTGATGCTTGATTCTGGTGACTGTGTCCGTCACTTTATGACAGAGAGCTTCGTCGCAAAGATCAATGAACTAAAACAAGTTATGGATCAATATCCCGTTAGATTATGGTAACAAGTTACATGTTATTGTATCATGTTAAAATTTATTGTATCAAGTAAATATGTAAATGTACTGCTAACACTTGTTTTAACATGGTAACTTAATCATTGTTGGTTAACTTACATGTTATCTATAAGTGTTTACATGTTATTATACGATTTAAACATTTTGATATAGCTCTAATTTTTTATTTCACAAGATAAGTAAAATTGTAAATCATCAACCTTTAGATTAACTTATTATATTCATCAGAAAACATTGATTCTATATTTCATCTTCAATCTCAGAAACCACAATATATGAACAATAGTCACCAATAATAACCAGAAATCAAAATCATAATCAAAATCGTCACTTTTGATTTGTTTTCATCAAGGACTTTTAAAATAGTTGAAATGGTTTTCGATTTCTGGTACGAGTTCACCCTTTCACCAATCGGCTCTTGCCTGGCAGCGAAGAACCTCTCGGAGAAATTCAGATTCGACATCTACAGAAATGTTAACACGCAATCGATGAAATTAGATGTGAAAACTGTATAATAGAAATAAAAAAGTTACGGGATTTCGATTTCTGGTACGAGTTCACCCTTTTACCAATCGGCTCTTGCCCGGCAGCGAAGAACCTCCCGGAGAAATTCAGATTCGACATCTACAGAAATGTTAACACGCAATCGATGAAATTAGATGTGAAAACTGTATAATAGAAATAAAAAGTTACGGGATTTAGATACTTACTGATTTATAAAGGATGAGAGATGCAGCAGAGGAGATTGTATATAAGGGTCTAGGCGGAAAGATAATGTACGGGCATTAGTGTATTTAAAAAAAAGTAACTGTGCACTTTCCCATTTAGCTAAATATGAATAGTAACAAGGTTATCTAGTACAAATTCTTTTTTTTCAAATATAATACAGATGGAATTTGGTTGTTACCTAATATAGTTATCAGATATATTTTACATTTATTTCTGTTTATTATTGATTATTTTTTTTTTTTTAAATCAAAATTTTGAATATCTATATATAACAATTTGGAATCCCTACGATTATCCTCTATATAATAAGAAATGATTTCTATAACATTTTACTCATCATTTAAAAAAAAAAAACCTATTATAATTTTTGTTTTCCATAACTATTTTTTTTCCAACTCAACCTCTGATTTAAAACTTTTGAAGAATATTTTAAAATAAAGGTGAATATCATAAGACTTTGCAAAAAAATATCAAGTTGTTGTTGGTTTAATAATTGAGAGTGGTTTAATCGACTCAAAAGTTAATTATTTGTTTCATTTACTTTTATCATTCCTTTTATTTGTGCTAAGGGGAGAGGGTGTTATTGTGAATTAGATTTAAAAAGATTTTGGTTAAATTTAAAAGTTATGAGATTAGTCAAATCTTCAAGAGTTTTTTTTGGATTTGTAAAATTTGCAGAGAGTTTTGTGGATTTAAACAATTTATAAAATATTTTTACTATGACATATTTTGAAAATCTAAGGCATATATGTAGTATTTTGAAAATTTTGATTTATGAGTTAAATTGTAAAGAATCTTTATCGCAATAACACTAGATTATAATAGAATTATAGAATCACTAAAATACTTTTTGAATAACAATAAATTTTGATTAGCTTATAAAAAAATTCAAACTAATAACAATGGATTTTTAAAAAATGTTATAATCTGTTTACGAATAACAGTAGAAACTATTTATAATGTAAAAATTCACAAACCAATAACCATTAAATCTTAAACTCTAAAAATCTTTATAAATCAACGTCATAAGTTTTTCATATGTAGTTTCTTTTCATTACTGTTAAAGTTAATTTAATTATTCTAATATTAAAATACACTATATAACATTATATATTATAATTTTATTTTTATACTGTTATCAACATAATTTATTTTTATATAACAATATAGTTTATACTAATATAATATATATATTTTTAGAATTTTAAGTTTTTATTGTCTATATTTTTATCTCAATCTGAATATTATAAAAAAGTTTATAAATATCTCACTCCGTGCAAGGTGCGAGTTACTACCTAGTAAGTTTGTAATTTGCAAATAATATTTTCAATATGTAGAAAAACATTTATTATGTCTAAGGTGATTAAGGTGATTAACAAAAACCATGACTCAAAGTGTCAAAGATTTCGTAAGTATATAAAAAGTAAGGTTTCACGTCAGGTCACTTTAAAAAAATCAAATAAAAGATTTACGCATACATCACTAATCCTCAGATCGTTGTCAAAAAAAAAAAAAAAATCCTCAGATCATTCGTAGCAACATTTTAAACACGTTTATGGTAGATAATGGAACTAGCTAGAGTATACGAAACAAAAACTAAGATTTGAGTAATTCACATCAAAATCTTTGAACAAAGTATACTAATCCAAATCATCTCCAAACACATATATTTATGTGCACTCCTTATATTCAGCATCCGAACAAAACAATTTCGTCTGTCTGCACCATCATAGAATGAAAATTCCACATACATTTTTGTTGTTAACATACTGTTACTATTTTACTCAAGAAAGACTCGCTTAATCTTTTTTCATCATGTTCTCGTTTAACATACTATTTTATTACAGTTTTTTTTTTCAGAATAGTACTGTTGTTTTTTTTTTGTCAGCCTTTTAAAAAATATTTCCTGATTGGTAATTCAATTCGGAAGAACAGTAGTGTTGTTTATTACCACCCTTTAAAAAAGTTTGTCGACACAAATGAATCACTTGATGAGCTATCTTCCGCATGAATGGTAAATAGTTAAAGAAGCTAATGTTGTAGTTGCAAAGACTTTCTTCGAATTTTTGTTGTTGTTGGTTGATTTTATTTAAAAAAAATAAAATTCATGTAAGCGAGTGGATAAAAATAAGTCATGTGGAATCATAGCATTTCTCTTTCCATCATAACTCAGTTTGTTTCTACACAAATTATTCGGTTTCTACACAAATAATCTGTTTTATACAAGTTATTCAGCTTATAATCATCACATATATACATATTTTTTAAACTTTTTTTTTGAACGGCACATATATTTAAACCAGTAGTCAAAATTAATGAGATAGCAACCTCTTTCTAGAAACATTGTTTAGTTGTTGATTAAAGTCGTAAAATTTGTATTGTAGTAGAATAAAATAAATTATTCATCTAAGAATATACCAATCGCAGATGGTCATAGAGCATTTTATTATTATTTTTATTAAAATTATATTCTTACATATAGTCGCAGATGGCCTATCCATCATCCTTAATGACCCATGTGAAATGATATTTGTTTAATTATACGTTCTCATTACTTTAAGTTTCATATAAACACCAATGAGAATAATACATATGTGATATGTAACTTAAGCACTAGACATTAATTAAAATTATTTTAGTAAAAAATTTACAGAGTGTCAACCGTCAAACATTAATAATAGTCTATGCGTGATGTAACTAAAATACAAATATCATTAAATGTAAGAAAAGTCACATTAACTACAGTGTGACCACAAAAAATTTCGTAACAGCTCATCTTTGAGAGCGTAATCGAGAAAAAAAAAACAATTTTCGTTGAGAGAAAGAAAAAAAAACCAAAAGAAACCAAAAATTTTCTTCCGGTTTATGGTTCAGATTCAACCAATCAAATTTCTATGCCGTCACGAGCAATCCCATCTCCGGCACCGGTGAATCCGCCGTCGTCAGCTCACCATGAGTCGACAACGCGCATCTTTCCACCGCTTATGGCCGCCGGCGTCGGCTTCTCCCTCTTCATAACTCTCTCCGCCTGTTTCTGCAAATTCAACCGCAAACGCCGATCTTCCGCCGCCGTAGACTCTTCCTCTACGCCGCCTCAGAGACCACCGTTACATGAGTTCTCATACTCGTCTCTCCGCAAAGCCACCGCCTCTTTCTCGCCGGAAAACAAGCTAGGTCAAGGCGGATTCGGTTCCGTGTACCGTGGAAACTTACCTAAATCTGCCGGTGGTAATGTAGCCGTCAAGGTAATGGATTCAGGCTCTCTTCAAGGGGAGCGAGAGTTTGAAAACGAGCTTTTCTTCGCCGGTAAGCTTGATTCACCTCACGTGGTTTCCGTTATCGGATTCTCTCAAGACCCGAAACGAAGACGACGCCGTTTGATCCTCGTCTACGAGCTAATGGAAAACGGAAACCTCCAGGACGCGCTTCTCCACCGGAAACCACCGGAGCTCATGGAGTGGAATCGGCGGTTTCTCGTCGCGATTGATATCGCGAAAGGCGTCGAGCATCTTCACGGCTTGAATCCGCCGGTGATTCACGGCGATTTGAAGCCGAGCAATATACTGTTGGATCGGGTTTTCGCAGCTAAAATCGCCGATTTTGGGCTCGCGAGGTTGAAATCAGATCTAGTGAAAGTCACGGTAGCGTCGGAGAACGATGAGATTAGGTTTGAGAGTAATGGTTCTGTAGTGGAAGATGTAGAGAGTGTGGTGACTAACACGACTGGGTATGAAGAATCTAACTTTGGTTTCACTGATCAGTCTCCGGTAAGTGTTTACAAGGCTCCTGGGTCTGTGGGTGCTTCGCCGGAGACGATTCAGGTGCCTCTGACGTCGCCGGAGACGACGACAAGTGTCTCAATTTCACCAGAGATGGGGGAGAAAGGTAGTGTCTTTGAGGTGAAAAGAAACGGGAAAGAGATGGAGAACAAGGATTGGTGGTGGAAGCAAGAAGGCAATGTTGGTAAAGGGAAAGTGAAGGATTATGTGATGCAATGGATTGGCTCAGAGGTTAAGAAGGAGAGACAGAGTAGCGATTGGATTGCTGAAACCTCGGAAGCAGCTTCTTTGTCGAGCAAGAAGCTTGAGAAGAAGAAGAGTAGCAAGAGATTGGAATGGTGGCTTTCATTAGATGAAGATAAGGAAGAGAAGAAGAAGAAGAAGAGGATGGTTAGAGAGTGGTGGAAGGATGAGTATAGAAAAGAACTCGCTAAGAGAATGAAGAAGAAGAAGATAAAGAAGACAAGTTTGGAATCAGAGTTTTACAGTGATGATTTGAGTCAAAGACGGTGTGGGGATGAAGAACTGTACATGAAGAAAAGAAGAGGTAGTAGCAGTAACAGCATAAGTAGTAGCATAGATTGGTGGTTAGATGGGCTAAGCGGTGAACAATGGAGAGCACAGAGGAAAAACAGTCACGATTCAGTCAAAAGCTGCGGAATCCGTAGCACGCCGAGCATGAGAGGGACGATGTGCTACGTTGCGCCAGAGTGTTGTGGTAACGACATAGACGATGTGTCTGAGAAATGCGATGTGTATAGCTACGGAGTTGTGTTGTTAGTACTGGTTTCAGGGAGGCGTCCTCTGGAAGTGACAGGACCCGCGTCTGAGATCATACAGCGTGCGAATCTCATGTCGTGGGCACGGAAGCTAGCAAGAAGAGGGAGGCTGGGTGATCTTGTGGATGAGAAGCTGCGGTTTTTGGACCAAGAACAAGCGGTTTTGTGCATTAAGGTGGCTCTTCAGTGTCTGCAGAGATCACCGGTCTTACGACCTTCAATGAAAGATGTTTTAGGGATGCTTACAGGAGCAATGAGCCCACCTGAGTTGCCTACAGAGTTTTCCCCGTCACCGCAGGCTCAGTTCCCGTTCAAAACACGAAGGAAACAGCGTCGATAGATCGGTTTTTTTAGAGTACTGCAGATATGTTGGTGTGTTAGTTGGTTTAGACTCTAGACTTTAGAGCAATTTGTTTGATAATTTTGTTTCTGTTGCTTTCCACAATTCCATCTGATTCTTATTTATTAATTAATGAAGGTAGTTTAAGTGATCATATCAAGCTTGTCATCTCTAAAAGATTTTCTGTTGATTGCACGGGAAAACAAATATTACAAAGCCCGCAGGCCCATTAGTTTAACGAAATCAATTTTAAAGCCCAAAATGAAATTTCCAGGCCCAGACACAAACAATTGTCGGACATTACAAGACACGAACCAAATGTGTCGGACATTACAAGGGACCTTAACCTCACATACTCCTCTCTCTTATATCAAATTCTCATATACTCTCATTATATCCATTTTTTCTTTTTATTTTATTTTTAATACAAAAAAACATAAAAAGACAAAAAAACCTTTAATGAATAACCATAATTACATATCCAATCTAGAGTACCAAACTCAAACCCGAATTCAATTTAAATAACCAAGTTAACCGAAAATTATTAAACTAAACCGATTTAATTATTTAAACCATCAAATTTAATTAAACCATTGACCAAACCCTAAAACTCTATTTCCCGATCCCAAATCTTCTTCCTCTTCAATTCCATCCTCTTCTTCCATCCTCCATCATCTTCTTCCTCTTCGATTTCATCATCTTTTTCCATCATCTTCTTCCTCTTCCATCATCTTCTTCCTCTTCCATCATCTTCTTCCTCTTCGATTAAATCCCCACCAATGCTCACTGCCCCTCACTCTCCACTCTTTGCTCTTCTGTTTTAGGCTCGCCACCGCCGCCGTTTTAGGCTCGCCACCACCACCGTTTCACACTTCTGTCGTCGCCGAACAGGTATCTTCTAGGCTTAAGAGTAATTAGAACCCTAATTTATGATTTCCTTCCATCAACCCTGAACCCCAACTAATTTCTGATTTTTGTTTTAGAATTTTTGGAGGATGTCGACTAGGGGTTCACCTTCTCAACCAGAGAGATTTGAGGCTGAGTATGCTACGGTATCTGAAGAAGTTTAGTACAACTGGAATTATCGCGTACAACTGATTTTTGTGGTTGAACCAAGAATACTAGTTGTACCAATACACTATAATTCACTTATCATATGCGTTTTGAATGCAGCAAGAGGAGGTCTCAATACCAATGGAACCTCGAGATTTATTCTTCAAGCAAAGCAAGTATCTGTTATACCCAAAGCTTCAATCAAGGTGTGAAACCTTTAATTTCATGGAAGTCTTCAAGAGGCTTGATATCTCAGAGAGGAACTGGTTTGAGAATCATTCCCACTTCAAGCATATTGTCCAAAGAAACGAGAGGCTGCAAAAAAGAAGTAGAAGAACAAGTTTGTTTTGGTTTTTGTTGAAACTAGTTGATGATTTTTCGTGAAACTAATAGATGATTTATGTTGAAACTAGTAGAAGGTTTATTGTTTTATGTTTGGTGAAACAGGATTCAAAAAGTTGAAAACTAGTAGAAGGTTTATTAATTTAATTATGTTTTCAGATTTTTTTGGTTAGTACAACTGATATTATCGCGTACAACTGGTGTTGTTAAAACTAGAATAATAAGTAAAAAGAAATGTATAGTGTCAAAAAATTAAAAAAAATTATAATAAAAAATAAAAGCCACATGTGCGCCGTCAAATTACACGAGCGCCGTCAAAATAATTATAAAAATAATTAATTACTTTTGTTGCGCCATCAAATAATATACAAAGTTGTACCCAAGTAGGTAAGTTGTACTCTATTTTTTTTTATTACACAGAGTTGTACTTTCATAGATAAAACGATTTTATTAATTATATCGTATTAGAAATTAGATTTTTATAGTTGTACTTTTGAAAATAGGTAATAATAAGACATTTAAGACACATATAGATAATTAAATGTATAAAATTATGTTTTTTTGTTAATTTCTTATAACTATATAGCATTAGTTGTAATAGTTGCCATAGAAGTATAAGATAGATATTATGAAAATATGACTTTTGTGTTCTCAATATTCAAAAATGCATCAAGTTGGATTTACTTCATCAAAATAGATATGAAATAGAGTCTTTAAACACATACTGTTTTCCGAAATGCGGTATTTTAAATAAAACGGAAAAAACATCAAGTTCACACTAGAGTTGTCCACGATAGTTATACTAGTTGTACCAAAACATCATCATCGGTTCCTATCCCTCTTCCTCTTGTTCTGCTACGTTAGGATCATTATACAACCATGCTCCTATTCCTCTTCTTCTTCCTCTTCCTCCTCTTCTTCCTCTTCCTCTCCCTCGATGTTCTCCAACTGATGGATGCCTAGTTATGTTGATGCGTCCTTTTTTCTTAACTATTTCTGGAGAAAATACACATTTTCCTCAGATATGGCCAGGAACAATCCAGTCATCTTTATAGGGGACTGGATAGATCGTCCTCTTCATTAGAATTTATTTACAGTTGTCCATCAGTAGTACCATTTGTACCAGTTGTTTCAGTTACATGTTGTACTAAAAAAAATCAGGTTACTTATAGAATAGACCGATTCAGATCGATGATTCAGTACGATTCATACGTATTTCAGTACTATAATATACTTAAATAACCAATGTAAAGCCTTAATAGACGTATACATAAAGTTCAGTATTAAAAAAAACTCCCAAACATAACAGAATATATTTATAGTTATCCATCAATAGTACCATATGTACCAGTTGTCACAATAATACCAGTTGTACTAAAAAGCTTGAGATTACTTATAGAATTGATTGATTCAGATCGATGATTCAACCAGATTCATACGTATTTTAGTACTATAATATACTTAAATAACCAATGTAAAGCCTGAATATACGTATACATAAAGTTCAGTAACTGAAAAAATTCACAAACATAATTTCTAAATCCTAAACACATAAAAACTTGTTATTTTTGTTGTAAAGGGGAAGAAATCACCTTGAATATTGAGTTGAGGGTCGTTGAGAGCAGCTCCAGAACGACGCCGAATATGTGTTTGGTTCTGTTACGGTCGATGGTCGTCTTCACTAGAGTTGGAGATTTCTGGGTTTGATTTTTTTTTACATCGATGGAAAGAGAAAGAAGAACAATAATGGGTCCCATTAAGGTTGGTTGGTTGGGTGGTTGGGTGATTGAGTTGAGTAATACCAAAATTAATTTTATATTGGTTTGGTTTAAATGGAGAGTGGTGTCCATTTTTAAATAAAGGGTAAAGTAAAAATAATGAAAAATAGAGGGGAGTATGTAGAATAAAAGGAGAGTATATAGAATTTTTTAAACTCATTAAGAGTATTTGAGGTTAAAGTCCCAAGACACAAACAAGTGTATCGATTAGAGGAAGATCCAATTTAGTGTCCGAATCAGCAAATCCGAACCAGTGAGTCAAACTCCAGGGACAATCTCTCGGGTCAATCCGAACCAGTGTGCTAATCGGCAAATCCGAGCCAGTGAATCAGTGCAGATGTGGTTATTCCACGTTTCTTCTCTCTCTCACACTCAGTCACTCTAGTAGACCCATTTCAAACCCCTCTCTCTCTTTCAGCATCTTCCATGGCGGACAATGAAGTTGTTCTTCCACGTTTTTTCAAGTTTTTCCTCTCAGTAACGACCTCTGAATCGATGGTAAGAAAGAATCTCTCTTTCTTCTTACATAACTGTAGTAGGAAAAGTCTCAAACTTTCGTATGGTTTAGGAGAAAGAATCTTTAGTTAATCAGCAGTTAGGGTTTAGGGTTTCATAGAATCCTGGATTTGTTTATCAACTTGCAAATGCAGACTTAGATGACTTTAATGACATTTTACGAGCTTAGGTTTTTTGTCCATCATCTTTGGTTGCTTAAATTGGGGATTTGTATAGATCTTTGTTTCACCTTCCTATACCTGTCTTTATGTTTTTGTCTGCTGCTTAAAACGCTCCACTCTTTCTCAATGTATCTCACTCATACTCTTGTTGAAACTAAGCCACTGTGGTTTCTATTGCTTTTAGTTTTAACAAGTCTATTTTTGTTTACATTTTGTGTTGGATTATCATCAGTCCATCCCGACGACCTTCACGGAACATCTTAAAGATCCATTACCAAAGACTGCAAAGCTCCAAGGCACTGGAGGAGGAACTTGGACTGTGAACTTCTCAAGAATACGCGAGCGTGCGTATATCACTGCTGGATGGTCGAAATTTGCAGAGGAACATGAACTCAAGGATGGTGAGTACTTAACTTTTGTCTACGACGGTGAATGCACATTTGAAGTCAGTGTCTATGGTCGTTGGGGTTGTAAAGAGACAAGAGCTGTGATGCAATGGTCGAGCTTTCTGATTCTGATGAAGAAGATACTTCAATGGCCCGATGCTTCAGGTGAGAGTGTTTTTTCAGAGTATTTCACATAGCAAAAATCATCAAAACCCAAACTAATATGTCAAAGATTGTTGTTTGTAAAGAGACAGGAGTTGTGGTGCAAACGGTCGAGAATTCTGATTCTGATGAAGAGGATACTTCAATGGTCGATGCTCCAGGCGAGATAAATTTTTTTTCCAAAGTATTTTTTACATTGTGAAATCACGAAACACAAACTAATATATCAAAGCTTCTTGTCTCAGTTGTGGCAGGGAGCTCAAATTTGGGGGCTATGACTTCTATATTCTTCAATACTAGACTCAAGAAAAGGATATATGACCTGGTAACAAAAAGATTTCGATTCATTTATTGTCTCTGACTACTTTAATATGGTTCTTAAAAGTTTTGTGTGGCTTTTGAAGTCTTTTTTTTTTCTGCAGTTGATTCCAGCAAACGTGGTGAATGAGAATGACCATGAGCTTAGGTTTGGGGAAAACATCAATTTTATTGATGAAGAAGGCACTGTGGTAGGAGAAAGAGCAAACTTTGGAGATGATAGGATTTGTTTCAAAGGATGGGACAGAATATGTAGAAGGAACAAGATTAAAGTGCAAGATAAAATTGAATGCGAGATGTTTCATCATAGGAAGCTCGTTCACTCTGTCAAGATCCACATCACACGTGGTTGAGTCTCTCATCATCACCATCACCATTATCATGAGTTCTTAGATTTATAGTATGACTTTTGTTTGTTTTAAGAGTATTGTGATTTTCTTTTCTGCTTTTATAGTAGTAGTACTTTCTTGAAGAACCTTCATAAACTTATTAATGTTTCTGCTGCCATTTAAATGCTAATTAATTATGTAATGCATTATGCATCCATGACTTTTTTGATAATATGTTTGCAAATGTTAGGAAAAACACAACAGAACTTACTATAACACAGAGACAGCGGAGCAGAAGTGTGTATTGTGCACTTCTGAATCACTAAACATTGAATCGCTCCCTGTAAAATATTTCACATATTGACAAGAGAAATTATCTTTCTAAAATTAAAAAAATATTTCAAAATATTTCTTTTTCCATATTTTGGAAGAAAGAAAAAATAAGACAAAGCAAAAGGAATTACCTCGCTTTTGGTATTGTATTTTCGATTTCTGTGCTTCTTATATCAGTTGTCTTCTTGTAGTAATTGAGGTTCATACACCTTTGAGGTTTGGTGTTTATTATAAAACAAGCAAACATACAACTATTGATCTTGTATTGTATACATTTATTGTTTTGTACTTTTGTTCTTTACGAGTGACAAAGAGTTGGTACGAGCTCAAGAGGGACTTTCTTGGCAATGTTTAAATCTCCTGCTTCTTCCATGTCAATCTCTTCAATAGTCATTCCATTGGGCAAACTCCAGTCGAAGAAGTAAAGAATGTTAAGAAGGCCAAGCTCAAGAATGGTGATTCCCAAGGCCATACCAGGACAGCTCCTATGTCCAGCTCCAAAGGGCAAGAGCTCAAAATGCTGACCCTTGTAGTTGATAAGGTTATTGGAAAACCTCTCAGGAATGAATTCTTCATGGTTAGTCCAAGATTTGGGATCACGTCCTATTGTGTAAGTGTTGATCTTGATCATGGTGTTTTTGGGAATGGTGTAGTGCCGTGCGAAGGTTTATAGGACTTAAGGCAAACTAAAAAAATAGGGCCTTTTTCATTTTAAAAAAAGGTTTTCTAACAAAAAAATATAATATAATTTTAAAATCATATAAAATATTCAAAAATAAAATTTTAATCTAAAAAAACTAATTAAGACATAATCTTTCTTCCTTCTTTTTCAATAAATTTTTTCACCAAACTCTCATAATCGAGGTCCTTAACTAGTTTTCTTTCTATAGATATGATAGATAAGCCATTCAATCTTTATTGTGACATAGTTGATCGCAACTAAGACTTTATCAACTTCAACTTTAAAAAACTTCTTTCAGCCAAGGCAACTGAAAATGGAATCGTCAGCAATATCTGATAAGCAATCTATGAATTTTTTTTTTCTCTTGGGCTTTAGGGTTTTGGTCTTATTTTAGGATGTTATAAAGCCGATAATCTAAACAAATCTTAATCAATTTCCTAAAACTATTGGGAGAATGTAATCTTAATCTATTTCCTATATCTATTCTTTTTTTTCTCTCTTATAAACAAAAATAAGAAAACATCTTATGTAAAAAAAGATTTCATGCCAACCATAAACCACTTAACCACCTTTAAGAAAATGAGGGCCCTGAAAAATTAACATATTTTGGGGGTTTGAGGCGAAAGCCTTTTTCACTACATGGTAAGCACGGCTCTGTGTGTAGCCTTGAATCTCGATGTCAGACATTGTTTGTCTTGGGAGCAAGAGAGGAGCAGGTGGATGTAATCTGAATGTTTCTTTGATCACTAGCTTCAAGTACTCAACTTTCTCTAAATCTTCTTCTGTGATTCTTGTGAGATGCGATTCACCGGGCCAGTCTGGATCTGTTGTCTTTAGGGTCATGGGCCTGCTGGTGTTGTAGAAGCCCATTATGAAGACAGCTGTTTGTTGAAGCCTGGTTTGTGCTTCTTGCTTTGTATACTCTGCGTTTTGGTAGCATCATTAGTTGGGGTTTCACTATGAGCCAAACCAGAGAGTATATATATAAAGGGGTCGAGTATCAGAGTAAGTAGGAAAGCGAGCAGAAAGTGTGAAACTTACGGCTTGGTGAGAGAAACATAGTTAGGGTGAGCGAACAAGATCTGGTAAGGTGGTGAGTGTCATTCATCGTTGTTCTTGTTTCCTCATTTCTCCTTGGATGGTTTTCTCTTCACGGTGAGAGGTGTGAGTTTGGGGTGTGTGAATCACTTGTACAGGCTTTCTCTTGATACTCTTGTGAGCTGGGTTAAAGCTCACCGAGACGTACCACTGCCGGTTTGGCGTGGGAACTCGTTATATGCCTGTGTCGTTTCTTTCCTGCACAAACAAAAGCAAACAGCATAAAACAGATAGTAAACAGACATCAGATCTAATCGGGACCTAACATAAATATCGTTATCAGGTTAAAAACTTGTTACAATTCTCTCTTTGTTGGGTCCTAGCTTTGTTCGCATCTCATCTTGGAGTTTTTCATTACTCTCGGATGTCTGATTAGCTCTGTCATCAACCATATCATCGTTGTTACTCCTGCGTTCACCCCCGCCAAAACCACATCCTGATAACAGTTTAGCAAGAATAACAAAAATGTAACTACAAAACAAGAAGTATATATAAATGAAACTACAGCACAAGATGTATATTTTTCCTATGTCATGGGTTAACTTGTTCCCCAAGCGATATCCTCTCTCCTTAAGTTATCTCCAATATAAAAACAAATTCCGTACTTGTTAAGAGATATGATCTCACTCACCGTCATCATTGCTTTAAGATGCTCAGAGGTGATGTTTAAATAACCGGAGTTAGTGGGTCTATTGATCATATTCAACATGGCACTGACAAGGTCTGAATGATCTTGGGGTTGTGCGATCTTGAAGTGCTCATCGATCACTTGTTAAAAGAAATTAGTTAGTTTAGAAAAGGCTTTGTTCATCCTCGAATGCTGACCGGAGACCAGGTCAACAAACCAACCGAGACCCGTGGGGAAGAAGTCAGTGTATGCCAAGGCACATACGTTGGTTTCTGACTCTTGCACCAGCTCCTCAATTCTGTCCATATCGATGTAATCACACTCGCGGAAGTTCTGTCCAAAGGCGATTCTAAATATGATACCGGCGGTGAAGGAGTAAAGGGCTTTTCTCAAATCCAATAAGGTTTGTGTTCGAGCCGATTTTGATATTTCCTTGACAAGCAAGTCACACTCTTCCTCTCTGATATATATACCTGAAAGACTTTTGCTTTTGCGGACTAAAGAGCTGAGCCCCACGAGTTTTTTCATCTCTCTCCAGTCCTCGCCATACTGAGTGAACCCAATGTCTTTGAAGTTGTGAGTAAACAACCCGTTCGCCACCAACTTTGGTCGGTTGCAAGTCTCTAAGTCATGAGTCTTGAGAACCTCTTTAGCTGCTTCCTTGGAAGAGAACACGACCATTGGGACGACCCCGAAATGGAGAAGCATGACTGGTCCATGTTCTAAAGAGAGCTTGTGAAGAGAACTGTGAAGCAATCTCCCAAGCTGGTGCAAGTTTCCGATGATCGGAAGACCCTTAGGTCCTGGAGGAAGCTTCCTTTTCGAAGGTAAATAGTTTGTAAAGAATATCAAAAGGATAGGGAAGATAAAGAGGATATATAGGAAGATAGACATTATTCTTGTTTTTTTTTTAGATTGTATTTGGAATGAAGAGCATTTTGTTCTCAAAGAGGCAATAAATAGCCAATCCGTGTGGTTAGGCTTTTGTACTAAATCAGAGTCATTGTAATTATTATATCAGAAGAATCGAATTAATTAAGGCAAATCTCTCGAGGCATATCATGTTCTTGTGTTTAATGGGTGGGAAAGGAGAAGCCCCCAAAAACACAGGTTAGATATAATTAAAGCTCTCTATTTAATTAACCAAAACGATAGCCATATAACGTGGACATCAATATATCTAAACATTTAATTAGTTTTGGAATTGATTCGTATAACCACAAAACTAGTTAGGTTTGATGATTTTTTATAATGTTGATTATTGTATGGAAAATATTAAATATTCGAATCAGGTTTGTTAATGCTTTTTTAAGATCAAGCTGATATAGCTCTTATGGTGGATCTAAGGGGAAGATAAAATAAAATTACACATATCTGAAACTACTTGTAATATTTTTTCTTATAAATAGAAAGATCACATGACGAAATCCAAACTCTTCTTTGGAACCTATGACTAGCTTTTTCATAAAATCGATGTCTCTTAATGAATTGATGTTATGTCACTAAACCATTTACTTTTGATGTTATGTCAACATGAATCATGGTTTAATTTTTATTGAAAGACCACTTCAATGGAGAAAACAAAGTGATTACCAAAATGCCTACGTTAGTCTCTGACTCTATCACCATCCCTTCTACTCTCTCCATATCGATGACATTGCACTCTTTAAAATTGTGTCCAAAGGCGAATCTAAATATGTTGCCAGCGGAGAAGGAGAAACTGATTTCCCCTAAATCCACTGAGGTCTCTGTTTGAGCAGATTCTGTTAATTTCTTGGCCAGCAAGTCATTCTCTTCCTCTCTAATAACTTGAAAATCTTTTGCTTTTTAGGACTAAATAGCTCCAGAACAGCAAGCTCTGTTCATGTCTCGTATACTGAGTCAAACCAATGTCTTTGCAAGTTGTAAGTAAATACAACCTGGTCGCTACCAACTTAGGTCGGCTACAAGTATCTAAATTAGTACTAATCTAGATCATTAGTCCTGAAAACTTGTTTAGCTGCTTCCTTGGAGAACACGACCACAGGGACGATCCCAAAGTGGAGAAACATCACCGGTCCGTGTTCTAAGAAGAGATTCAGAAGAAATTTGTAAAGCTGGTGCAAGTCTTTCTATGATGTAACTTTTGGGGATCTATGGATAGTCAAAGCAGTCTTCGAAAGATGGATGGAGGAAGTCTTTTTGAAAACTATCTAACGTTAAGGTAAGAAAAGAAACCACATGGCCTGAAACCAAAATAAGAATTGTGTGGAGGTAAAGTTTACAGATGTTTCTGGTATATCATGGTTTTTATGGTTTTAGTCTATGATATAAGTCTTATTTATAGAGTGGTCTTAGGTACGTTTGAAGCTTAATTAAAGATTTTGGAGCATTTTGGAACTAAACAGGGATCAAAATCGTGAAGGTTGATTTTATGTGCCTTGGTGTCGCTCGACACCACATCACCATTGGTGTCGCTCGACACCGATGTTATGGAAAAAGGAAAAACGTGATTTATCCAATTTTTGAAGAATATGTGAAGCCCTGAAGTCTCTAATAATTGCTAGAAATCCCAAATTACGTGTTTTTTAGTTTTTAAAAGGGTTTTCAGCCACCCTGATTGATACACTTTTTACTTTGAGAGAGAAAACTTTTGTCTTAGATTCATCTATACTTTTGAGAGCTTTTGGGGATGATTGCGAGCAAAAGCGGGGTTTGTTGTTTTCGTTTTACTAAGCTTCAGGTTTTAAATTTATAACTCCTAAATATCTGCAAGTGCACAGATGTGCGCTGTAATACTTAGGGTATCGATCCACAGAGACTTAGTTGTTTCAGTACGAATTCACTGCAACGCTTAAATCAGATTAGAACTAAACATGTTTGGGTTTTGGTTTTGGGTTTTGGTTGTCACTAAATCTAAACTAGAAAGCAAATAAAACAAAAGCAATTGAAGGCAACTAAAACAAGTAAAAAGCGATTAAACCAAAGCTTATCACAAATTTCTATCTTCAGCCGCTGCTACAAACACAAAGGACACAGTTCAGAGTGTTGTAGCAAAGAAGGCTAAACCAAACAAAAATTAAATGACGGGTTTCTTCTGGAATGTTCGCGGATTCAACAAAACTATAAAACATTCCGTAGTGAAGAAGTGGGTGATGGAAGGTTCGCTGCAATTTGGCTGTTTACTTGAGACATGGGTCAAGGAGAGTAGAGCTTCACAGATTGTAGATTCAGTGTTTCAAGGGTGGTCGTTTCTTTCAAACTACGAGAATCATCGGTTAGGCCGAATTTGGATTGTGTGGAGTCCAAATGTGAGGCTAACGCCTATGTTTAAAAGTTCGCAGTTGGTTACTTGTTCGGTGCAACTTAAGGGGGAGGAGAACGAGTTTATATGCTCCTTCATATACGCATCGAATTTCGCAGCTGAAAGGGAGGAATTGTGGGCCGATATTAAAGCTCATCAGGACTCTCCTATCATTCGAAATAAGCCATGGATTCTAATTGGAGACTATAACGAAATTTTGGATGTTGAAGAACACTCAGAGTTTATTAATTCTCCCAGCATATCTGCGGGTATGAGAGACTTTCAAGAGATAACGATGTATTGTTCTCTTATGGATCTTAATTATCATGGGCCATTGTACACCTGGTGCAATAAAAGAGAGGAAGGAGTTATAAGTAAGAAGTTAGACAGGGTTCTAGTCAATGACAATTGGACCCAAGCATATCCGAGATCTTACTCTGTTTTCGAGCCAGGTGGATGCTCTGACCATTTGCGCTGCCGCTTTGCTCCCAAGAGATTCGGTGAAAAAACCATTCAAGTTCATGAATGTGCTTACGGAACAGGAAGAGTTCATTCCTCTAGTTTCATCGCACTGGGCTTCGTCTCCTGCTCTGGTCTGTTGTGGGTACATAT